CAATCCAAACTACTAGATTAAAGCCGGAAGCTTCGAACATCTAGCAAATTAAGTGGTTTCTGAATAGAAAATAAGATCTCTTTCAATATAAGAGCCAGAGTGCAACTTATATAAGGCATAGACAACAAAAAAGATCGAATACATCAACCACACTGGATATCACTCCATCAAACCTTCGTTAATTCCTCGGTTCTATTCATAAGTGACGTCACATCGCTATAAAAGNAAAAAAAAACAGAAAAACGGAGGTGCAGCTGACGGATTGTGCTCAGTGTCACACCAAAAACATCAGGTCGGACTCATCTGTCGCTTCAGACGCTTCTACAATGGAGCTAACCATTTTTGAAGAAATCACTTCGAAGGCTGCGGTAATACCATCGCAGAGAACATGTGGAGCAGAAAAGGGCATTGCTTGGACCTAATGACTTACTACTTTTCAATTACTTCGAAAGGCTGATGGTTTAATGCGGCTATAGGAGTGTAGGAAGTGGCCAGTGCGCGCCAAGAGGTTGAATGGTTTGTCAACAACGAGAGAAACCCGTTGCGCTCGCCTACGAAGGATAAGCCATTCGTGGCTACACTGTAGTCGGAAAAGTCTGAATTGAGTAGGTTGATCACAATAGATTTACTACGAAGTAATGACGATAATGCAATTCATTAGACCACGTGCAACACGATAAACTTGCTAATTTACTTGATTTGAGGAGAAAAATTGAAACCGGTTTCAACTACGATACAGAAAACGTCAAATGGCTCTCAATAGTAACAAGTTGTTCAAAGAAAGAGCAGTAACGAAGATTAACGTGAACAGCGCAACGCCTCAGATTGCGCCATGCAATCGACTTCTACTTCTATCGCGTAGCAGTTCGAATTGGCACAATGCCCTTGATTTCCAGGATAGAGCTGCGTAAAGCCGTTTGCTTCATTCTCTCTTACAGTATGGTACCCATGGACTCTATCGGGATTCGAACTCACCTATGTTCTTTCCGGACCTGGGCCCATTATCCCCTACACTAACGTGACACAAAATAAAAAAAGAGATGAAACGAGTAACATACTGGATCAAAACGATATTCACAGATTACCCAAGAGATCAGCGGAGCCACCGCCATCGCAGAACTATCGTAAGGAAGAAAAGAATATAAGAGTGATAGAAAGACGCCGTAAAACTTGCTTAGTGAGTCAGAGAAAACAAATCTGGCAGGTCCCCAATCGATTCTATAGGAACAACTGGAGCAACAGGAAAATTCGACACATAATTTTTATGACCAAAAAACTTGTTTTCGTGGAATCGATCTCTATGAAAATATTGACGCATCGCTGTAATTTTCAATGGGTCCACAGAAAAAGATTCGAAACAACCGACATTTTCTCGTTGAGAACATTTCATCATCGATCGCTCTCGGGTAGCTGACTCATAGCCTTACGAGGAAAAAACCGAAAGGAGCCCATTTGCCTCAAACGGACCAAGCCACAAAAGTACAGCTTCCAAAAAATAACCAGAGTAGAAATATTCTGGTAACAAACTTTCATATTCGATTGGAATCTGGTAATTACTTATTGCACCTATTACCTGCGCTTATTTATATCAGCGTGAATGGACCTTTAAATTTTTCTATGAATTAGAAATAAAATAAGCAGATGTGTACCAGTTTCTTTTTAGTTTTACCAAGAGCTCAGCTAGTAAGAGATTGGCACAGATGATCGCAGTCCTGCCAGAAATCATCGATAGGAGAAGGTTGGGGAAAAATGAGTCGCTTCCAGCGAGACAATAAGGACACATTCAATGATTTTCGGAAATTCGTCAGACCTCCCACACGATGAATGGGTAAGGAGATCACCCACCCAACGTGCTTACGATGATAGGAGCAAAGGGGAGAAGCTGGCGAAATGAAATCTTTACTCTTGCAATCTAATTACACCTACAATCAATCCTAAATGAACTGGTAGTGAGTGGTTAGGGCGGTGCTACATAACGCCGTTCAAGGCATTACGACACGATTTCTGACTCAAAGGCGCAGTTCGCGATAAACTAATTTCCATTGAGGGCGGAACAACTGGTTCAGAATAGTACGTCGGTGGGAAAGGGAACGAGAATTCTATTAGGACTTCCAAAATGAATCTGAAAATGGGATATTCAAATTAATCACGACCTAAATCTACCACCTCGGACTAATTCATTTTCAGGGTTGCAATAGATTGAAGAGGTGTTTGGGCGAGATTATGATCGCACCAGAGAGTATCATTCGTGACTTCCACCACAGACGCACTCCACTTTGCCTTCTGGGTCCTCT